AGGCAGGCACTTGTGCCACTGAGCTAAATCCCCAGCATTCTAATCACATATTAATAAAATGTTTTTCCCACTCTATGTGTTGTCTCTTTACTCTTGATAGTTTCTCTTGCTGTGAAAAAACATTTTTATAAGAAGAGATTGCAGTTATTGATTCTTTGTAATACCTCCTGTGTAACTAGGGATTTAGTTCCAAAGTTTTTGCTTATACCTGTATCTTCATTAGTTCTGCTTACTTTACCTCCCAGCATATTCAGTGGTTTTTGTTTTAGTATTTAAAACTATGACCCATTTTGATTTTAGTTTAGGGTATTGTGAGAAACATGGACCTAGTCTTGGACTTCAGCGTGTGGAAACCAGTTTTTTCTAGCACTGTTAATTATAAAGTGGCTATGCTCTGTCCAGTGAAGGTGTTTGGCTTCATTGTCAAAGATAATTCAGACACATAATTTTAGATGTAGCCACAAGACTTTATAATCCGAAATCATGTCTCAACTGTATGCATTCTAACAGGCTACACAAAGAATTTCAGCTTCCACAGTTTGATGTTGTCCATTGCTTTTACTTGTTTATTTGATTTCTGTACTTCTTAACTGCTATAAAGTTCTATTCATTTATCCAAATATTTTACTTAATAACAACTTTCCATTGATATGCAACTCCATGGTTTAATAATCTTGCTTCTCTTTGTTCTGTTTTTGAAATATCTATATTGAAGTGGTAAATGGCCACCAGGGAATCATTTGTCATTTTTCCTTATCATTAATATATATTGACCTTGTGATTGCTAATGAAACATATTGGGGAATATTCCATTTATAATATTTTTATACACAATACGCAATCTGAATGTAATCAGTAAAAATGATAGAAGAGGACTCTAAAGAAAGGATTTCTTCACTGTATTTCAAAAGTGTCAGGGTTATGAAACACACAAAAGAGAAATGTGAAAGATTGGAGGAGATAAAGGGCACATGGAAATTGTAATATGGGGCCCTTGATCTGATTCCAAAATTTAAAAATGCAATAGTGAAAATACAATACAATCTAAACATTATATACATTTTAATTTTTTATATTTGATCATTACATTACATTTATATAACATAATGCCAAATCAGTGTTGAGGAAAACATATCAGAAAACAGCACTGTTTTCAGAAAGCTTTACGATTTTAAAAATATTTAAAGTCACTTCAAATAGATAGTCAATATAATCAGAAAAAGAAAAGCACGTGAGCTCTTTTTCTTTTATTTTTTTCTTTGAAAGTCACATCTCTAATAAAAAACCGAGATTCATTATATACAGCATATTCACTTTTTTTTTTTTTTTTTTTTTTTTTTTTTTTTTTGGGTATCAGGTATTAAATTTCCAACCTCACATTTGCCAGGCAGGTACGCATGCTACTGAGCTAAATCCGCAGTCCAATATTCACTTTCCTAAATTCTAGATTTTATGCCAAGGGGTTTGAAAATTGTAAGTGAATGTCTCTGAGAATAAAAAAAAATGAGGATTAGATTTCAAAATTTCTCTATGAGTATACTTTTGTTTTACTTGAGGGTATAGATACTAGGGCAGTCATGCATCCTTTGTGAAAAGTTACTTGTGTTAGTCCACACAATCTCTTCCTTTCCATGCAACTGTAAAGTTCAGTTTATCTTAGTTTACAAGGCATTGCACACACCATATCCTAAAGAAAATAAACATTAGGACTGAGGGTTTAGCTCAGCAGGCATGAGGTCATGAGTTCAATGCCTGGTGCCAGAGAGAGAGAGAGAGAGAGAGAGAGAGAGAGAGAGAGAGAGAGAGAGAGAGAGAATATTAACCTTCTGTGCAGAAAACAAACCATAAAACCCCAATACTAGTATAAAATTGGCAAACTATCAAAACAACAATTTCAAAGCTCTAGATACTGAAAAAATATTAAATTTGGAAGTAAGTGCTCTCAAAGCACTACTATGAAGACTATTATATTCACTATATTCTTTACTGTAAGTCTCCTATGAACCTGTTTTATTACTTTATTTTGTTTTTTCTTCTTATAAAAGACAGGCTGTGTAGCTGGTAGTGAGGTCAGAAAGTGTTTGTGGGAACTGCTTAGGTGTCCTGGAGTCCACTACCGTTCATCAGCCAGAACTGCACTGCTGGCAACATGAGTGATACAGCTGTTCCAAAAAGAATGTGAATTTCAGTGTGGAGTGAAGCAAAAGTCTTCAGTGTTTCCAGCCAAATGTGGTGACTGTGCAGGAGATGAACTGGGAAAAATGACAGAGGCAAACTGTAAAATTGATGGACCTGATTGGGACAACAAATAGAACAGCCAAGAGTGCATTTCTGGAAGATATAAGATTACTGAGACCATTGCTGCTCATTTATTCCCTGTATGAGACACAGAGATCCATATAGCAATGTGACAGGAGGTCCTGACAACTGCACTTCCCCTGCACTCTTCAGTGCGCACACAGGACCACCGGCGAAGCATCGTGAGCTCCTGGTGTGTGATCCAAAGTGCCCAGTCTCCAGCTTCTGCCATGGCCTGAGGATAGAGGGCAGCTCCCAGAGACATAAATTAAGAAGAAAATTAAACCAAAGTAGAAACATGTGCAATCACTTACAACAAGGAAAACAGATTTCCCCAAGGCAGTTAAAGTTTTCAAATTTAAAGTGCTGTACTATGACAAAGAATTTAAGAGGAAGATATGAAGTGATTCAACCAAGAAAGATTTCCAAAGAAGTGAAAGCTATGAAAAAAACACCAACTGGAAATTCCAGAGCAGAACAGTAAAATGGGGCAATTCCAAATTCACTAGATAGGTATATACAGGTTAGGGATGGCAGAGTCAGCTTTATGGATGCTAAAGAAAATGGAAACAGGGAAGTGATGGACTTAGCAATTTACTGAGATTATTGACAACTGTGTGTCAGACTCAAAAAGCAGAAAAAATTTTGAGAGAAAATTGGCAAAACCTTGAAATGTACTGAAGCTCAGTGATTTATAGATCTAAAATATTTTCAGACAGATGAGTTGCTGACATCCGATGAAAAAGAGAAAGTTTCCAAGAGGGAAAAAGTAAAAAAAAGATATTAAGTTTTCATTACAAACAGTGGAGGACAGAAGACAGGGGAATGGTATATTTCAATGCTGAATGGAAAAGACCATACTCATAAGTGAAATAAATCAATCTCGCATGTATGAATACCGAATAGTTTCCCTAATGTAAGTAATGATTCAAATATATGAAAATATGTGGCAATCATGATTCCCCATTATGTGGCCTTGAAGCCTTATAAAATTTTCACTTATTAATTAGAAAGGCTTTATTCCGGGCTTCTTGATATGGAAATATTTGAAGCTATAGTATATGAAGTTTTATCCAAATATCTCAAGGAAAAAGACAGACACTATGGTAACTATTATTCTTTAAAAAAATTATTTAGTTATTTCTTATGTTTATTTTAATTAAGGGAAAAATTTAAAAAATTAGGATATATAATAGTAACTCTTTTCGATTTCCTATTAACTTGTTTTGAAGTCCTGTAATGCTCCCACGATCTTGTTTTGACTGATTAGACTCTGTTCCATTCTGTGGGATAGTATCAGGTCCGAGGGTATAGGCAACTACTTTGAAGGCAGTAAGATTCACTAAGATGCCCATTCTGGTTTGACTATTGTCTCCTTTGGAAGTCCTGTAATGTTTACAATGTCTAAGTTTTATTGGTCTTGTTCTCTACTGTTTTGTCCAACTTTATAATATCTAATGAGATAGACAAATCTTTTTAAGGAAACAAGAGACAACGTTGATAACTATTGTTAATAACCGTATACTCTGTTCTACATCATGTGCTAAGTCTATCCTTGGTTTTCACTGACAGCTTTGTTCTGCCATATTTGACTTTATTCTCCCCCCCAAAAAAAGTAATAAGAACTAAGGAGTAATAAAATCTAAAATGTGTAAATTTTGTTGTAAAAAGAGAGGAAGGGGAAAAAAGAGCTCTAACGGATATAACAGCAAGTGTGTATAGGGATGTTGAATAGCTGACTATATTAATGTTTTTGGATCATTGAACACAGCTGTTTGTAGTCTCTCTGTTTGAATGTCTACTTTGTATTCTTTGATACTGTGATTTGAGCAACTATTTCCAAGATGATAATATGTAATCTATTAACAGGTGATTTCTTACTGTTATGCTTTTTTTTGTAGTTCTGTATTATATGTAACCTTACACTGCTTTGTTTTGTTTTGTGTTTTTCTCTTTTTCCTCTTAAATAAAAAAAAAAAAAAGAAAAGAAGTCGCCAAAAATTCTACATTAAGAGATGTTTTACATCAAAAGAAAGCTAAACTAAACACTGCTTCAATGTAAACACAAATGAAGAGAAATTATTATATGTAAGAACACCATTTAAGTAATCCAAGAAGAAAGGCTCCAGTTCCACTAAAGACAATTATCTAAATTCACATGAGGTAAAAACAAATGAAGGCTTCAAAAATACAATAGAAACAAGAAGGAAGAAAAGAACAGACAAAAATACTACAACTTGTAAGACATTCACATCCAGTACAAAAACACACCTCTGTGGCAAACCATAGGGAGACCTTGTGGGCTATAGGAGGTACTATATAGATCAGGCTGGGGAATAAGAGGCATATGGGAAATCTGATGTTTAATTCTATAGCTATGTCTGAAACATTCCTAAATAAAAGTTCTAATTTTTGCACATTAAATAGATATGTTCTGTAGATATGTGTGTATTATCATTTAACCAGTTAGTGTCACTTTTTAACAAATATCTACAAAAGAAATAAGAAACACCAAATAAATATGGATACAATCTTAATAATGAAAAACAATGCTTGAGTTTTTGAAATGTTTTGAAGCGCAGATGTCTCATGATGCTTGGTCAAACAAGATCCCTTTTCTTGTCCCATTTCACTTTAATACTAGTTTTTTCAAGCAGCTGCATCAAAAAATTTGCATGTGGTCCCCAAGTGAGGCCCTGCACTGCAGGACTCAGATAAAAGCCCATCTGTACTATTGCCCTGACTCATCAGCGTTCCTCAGTTTAGCTCAGAATGAAGCTCCTTGCTCAGCTCCTGGGGCTGCTGATGCTCTGTATCCCAGGTAAGGCTGTAGGGAGGAGATTGGGGTGAGAGGGTGTCTGTGGGGCCACCCTAGTGCCCAGGGGTATTCTGTGCATGAGTGGGATGAGTTGCTTCACCTCCACGATGCTGCATGTGCTGTTTCCACCTGTGAGAGTGAGAATGGGAGGCATGGGGCTGAGACCTGTGTGATAATGACTGTGATATGCAGCAGAATGTTAGGGATGAACTGTGCAATTCTTTTAAAAATTAAATACTGTAGTGTACACATCAGCATTATAAATCATAAAGCCTGAAAATAACGCAAAAATACTATGCTGAAAATGATCAAAAATGTTGCACATGACCTTCAACTTCTCTCATTGTTTCAGGATTTATTGGGGAAGTTGTGCTGACCCAGACTCCACTCTCCCTGTCCATCACCCCTGGAGAGTCGGCCTCCATCTCCTGTAGATCCAGCCAGAGCCTCCTGGATAGTGATGGAGACACCTATTTGTATTGGTACCTGCAGAAGCCAGGCCAGGCTCCAAAGCTCCTGATTTACGAAGTTTCCAACAGGGTTACTGGGGTCTCAGACAGATTCAGAGGCAGTGGGTCAGGGACAGATTTCACCCTGCAAATCAGCAGCATGCAGTCAGAAGATACTGGGGTTTATTACTGTTTTCAAGGTACACATGTGCCTCCCACAGTGATAGAGCTCCGAACATAAACTTCCCTGACCAAGGATGCCCAGCTGCCTTCTTTGTTGTTTGTCTGGAGAGCAGCATAGCAAAGTCTGGAGTCTATGTAACAGGAAGATGCTGCAGTTCTCAGGGGATTATGTTGCTCTTGAAAGCTCTGGACCATGTGTGACTCAATTAAACCTCAAACATCACCTGCTTATTAACTGTCAGCTCACGGACACTTTGCATACCACAGACAGATGGAGAAGGGGGGTGTCTCTCCTGCTAATGATGACAGTATTATATAAAGGCTCGATCTTGTATGTTTTTTAAAATTTTTGCATTAAATATGTTATCCTTAAATAATGCACAAACAGATTTGTGCAGAACATTTTGAGATTTACCAAGGTTTGTTTCATTTTGATACTTTGGTCCATTTACAAGAACTGGGTCTTGACACTGAACAATGTACCCAGCCCTTTTCTCCATTTCCTTATTTTAAGATTAGCTGTCACTAAGGCTTAGTCATTGGGGCTGGTCACATAATTTTGAACCTCTTGTCTCAATCTTTCAGTGTAGTAGGATTAAAGCTGTGTCTCACCTCTCAATTTTTCTTACTTAAGATTTACGCTGTGTTTTGATTCTTAAAACCCTATTTTAATCCTTATTTTGACACAACTCCTTGCCTTGAACTTGTGATCTTTCTGCTTCAGCCTCACACATGTATGCACTACCATGTGTGCCTTGATTACTATCATCCTGTTTCAAGAGAGGTATTTTCTATGATTCCCAGCTTCTTCTTCTGTTTTCCAGTCATGGTCTCATTATAGAAAAATGGGAAAGACTACGTCCTGAACTACTCATCCTTAGGGGAATCTGTCTAAATTTCCTGTGCAGAGTCCTGAGGTCATGTCGCTATTTCACTATTCAAAACATCAATGCAACTGAAGGGGGTTTCTTAAACTTGTTTTCCCCCAAGAAGTCACAGAAATATACATATACATATACATATATATATACGTATATATATATATATATATACGTATATATATGTATATATGCATATATATATATATATATATATATATATATATATATATATATATATGATTGTGTGCACAGAACTGATGGAGAAACATGCACAGGATGTGAGATTCCTGTCCTTCTTCCTCAGTGCATCTGCTCTGTCTTCTCAATCAGATCTCAGGAGATGTTTTTTAGAAAAACAAGGCTCAACTAGATTTTAGTTTCCCAGTTGGCTTTCTGACACTGTGCCAAGTGAAAACACATTCAGTTTCAAATTTGGTAAATATAAGAGGTCAACAAAATGCTACTTGAGTTTCAGGTTAATTAGAACAAGATTCCGACTCCTTCTGAAATTTTAGATCATATAATTCTCTTTTCCACCCCATTGTTTTCTGATGCTACTTATATTCCGAAATGCATGCTTTCTTTTTAACACTTTCTGTTTGTAGATCCACATGTAATTTTAAGAAATGGCAAAGAAGGAGCTTATGTATCCATCACCTAATTCCGCTCCCTGATGTAACTTGCATGTTATTCCAAGAGGAAACTAATGTTGATATAGTCCACTAACCTGGTTCAAATTCCAGTGGATGTACAATGTGTAATACAGTTCTTTTTATGTAACATGTTTTTATTGAGGTGTATATGTACATATGTGTGTACGTACATAGTCCATAAAAAGGCAAGATACTTCCTTTTGCTAACCACTCCAGTTTCTGAAAGGAATATTTTATTTTCTGTTTCTTAATTAACAAATATTTTAAATATTTGTTTTGTAAGACAAGCTGTTTGAAATACATATGCATTATTGGCTGGCCAAATTTAAATTAGTTAGTAAATAACATAAAGATTACCACACATATTTATACACTTCTTTTTTATAGTAAGAACAATGTCAATCCTTAATGATTTTCAAGATAGAAAACATTATTATTAATGAAAGTCATAATAATGTGAAATGTATGTATAGAAGTTATTCTCTTTATCTCTCTGAAATTATGTTTCTTTTTCTTTAAGTACTTTAATGGTTCATATTCATTTTGCAAATCCATTCTGTCAATGTTGTATTTTCATAGATACAAGCAACATATCTTGATCACATCCTACCTCCCATGTCCTCCCTCATATCCTCTTTATCCCTCCTGTTGATTCTCTTCATATGTAAGAGCATTATCTCCTCAAAATTTGTGAGATTTTTTTCCAGAATCCAAGAATTAGGGAAGCTGATAAGCACTCCCACTCATTGACCCTGTTCATGGACAGTGTCTCACATTTATTCTTTTTATGGCTAAATAGTACTCCACTGGAAAAAAATATCGCATTTTCTTTATCAATTCTTCGGTTGATGGGCATGTGGGTTGTTTCCAAGATAAACTACTAAAAATTGTGCTACTATAAGAATGAGTGTACATATATCACTGTGGTATGATAGTTTAATTCTTCTGGGAAGAAAGTGAGAAGAATAGTTAAGTTCAATGGGACCTCCAATCCTAGTTTGTTGAGAAATCTCCATATTGATTTCCAGAGTGTTTGCATCAGTCGACACTGCCACCAATAGTGGAAAAGTTTCCTTTTTTCATGCAGTCTCTCCAGCATTTGTTATGGGTTGACTTCTTAATAATAGTCATACTTGCCAAAGCCTATCTCAGCGGCAAAGTGCCTGCTTGGTAAGCAGAATGGCATGAATTGCAGCCCCTCTATACTCCCTACCCCCAACACAAACAAACCAGTAACCATTCTTTCCAGAATGAGGTGAAATCTCAGTGCTGTTTTGATTTATATTTCTTGAATGGCAAGTGATTTGGGACATTTTTAAAATTTTATTTAAAGAGAAAAAATATAAAACAAAAAAGGGTGACATTTTTAAAATATATGTTTATTTGCTGTTTGTATTTATTCATCTGTGAAGTGTGCATTCATCTAAGATACCCAGTCTTGGATTGGATTTTTAAATTTGATCTGATTTTCTTGAGTTCTTTATATGTTCCCAGTAATATTCTTTTGTGTGAGAACAGTTAGCACATATTTTCCCCACATTGTGATATGTACCTTTACACTGTTGGTGGTTTCTTGCTGTGGAATTTTTTTTAATTAGATAAGATCCCAGTCATTGATTCTTTGTGATAGTTCCTGTGTGATCAGGGTTTTATTCATAAAAAAATTTGCCTACACCAATGTCTTCAAGATTTATATCTATTCTATCTTCCAACAGATTTAATGTTTCTTTTTAAATGTCTCAATCTTTGATTCATTCCAATTTAACTTAATGCATGGTGAAAGACGTGGGTCTGACTTTAATCTTTGTCATTTGAACACATAAAATTAAATTCAGGTGTTTAATAAATATTTTAACCAAAAAAGAATATACTAAGGATATCCTTCAATAGCAAATTTTAACAGAGTTAGGGATGTTTAAATGAGTGCAGGTATATTTTCACTTGTAAAAGAAAGATTGCAATATGTCATAGGAATGTAACATTTGTAAAGGAATTGTAATATGTTAAAAGATTGCAACATGTTATATGCAATATATCATATGATATATGTTAGCATATCAAGAGCATATTCTAAAAGTGTACATTGAAGTGTTGGAAAATGAACATTGTGCTAGAATTACAGGAGGTTGTGTGTAGAAAAAAAAAGAAGAAGAAATACCCATTGAACCCATGAAACAGACGAATGTTCACAGGACAGAAATGAGGTTGTTAACAGCACAGGGAATGCTGTGGGCCAGGAGGCTAAGGCTGTGGTATCTGGGAACAGAAATGCTAGTAGTAGGAGGAGTAGCACTCTTTCTCACAGGAGGAAGCAGGGAGCCCTTTGACAGGGTGTATTATGGGTTGCTTTTTCCTTGAAGCTGTTCTTTAGAGGTTCTGAGTAGTTTGTAGTAATTAAATATCTCATAGTAAAATCCTCTCAGCTGAGACAGTTACATGCAAGAGCAATGGTGACTCCACACTGGTAGCTTGATTGTTTTGTTGCTAATTATTTTGCTCATGAAAGAGGCCTGTTATGGCTCACAACATGAACACCCTTCCTCATCACCAAAAGTTAAGCGAAGGCTATGACTAGTGATGAAAGGCTGTAACCCCTGCACTCTGGAGGCTGAGGCAGAAGGATCACAAGTTTAAGCTCAGCTTAGGCAATATGGGTATTTAACAAGACCTTCTCTCAAAATACATTGTAGAAAGGGCCTGAGGATGTTTATAAGTGCAAAGGCTCTGGTACAGGGTAAGGGGTGGGCAGAAAACCTTAGACCAAATAAACACAAGAGGAGATGCTGACAAAAAGTATAAAGAGATCCATATAACAGAAGGCAGAGTTTCCAGGATTCTGATGTGGAAACCTTGTCTGGTGGGCCAAAAATTTACTAAATGCTTTATCTCTTGGCATAACTTTGCTCAGCACAGCATGGGTTAAATATACATCTGTTTTGTTTCCATCTCTAGATTCTAGCAGCAGCATTCCTGTCCCAAGTCTCTCTAGCTTCTCCCTCATTATCCATAAGAGACCACATCTTCATTATCTTCCCAGAAGCAGCAATTCTAGGGACAGACATTTATCCACAGGGGTTGCTAATATTCCTAAATGCTTAACCTTTTAGCCAGAGACAGATCAGACTAGAACACAACAATCTAAAATTCATGGTATTATTGGATAGAATCCTTGAGTCTTAACATTAGAGGTGTGTGTGTGTTGTTTCATCTAAACTAGTAGGGAGGGAGTGAAGAAGGTAAAACATTTGCCTCAAGACTGACCTTCATAAAAACTTGTACATAGTGAGGTCTTTGGTTCTTTCTAGGGACTGTGCTCTGGGTACCATGTCACCCTCAAAAATCCCAGCTTTCATAGGTAAGTCTTTTCTGCCCACTGCTACAGACAACTAGGATTTTATTTCTGTCTCTGTTTTCCAAACACAGAAGACACTTTCCACTGCAATACTTAAAACAGAGGACTTTAACCTTCCCCAAATCTGCCTACATTGCAGTACCTACAGGGGATTTTCATGTTTCCAATGGAGAAATTCTCCCTGCAAATTGATATAAATGCTAAACTGTATTCCTGATTTCTTTCACCACCAACTGGGACTTCTCAACTTGTAGATGCTTGCTCATCTTCTGGGGCTGCTGGTGCTCTGGATCCCTGGTAAGGACAGAGCAATTCGAGGAAGTCAAATGGGCTGGGAGGGTGAAATCTGTGGCCCTCTCCTTCCCATGTCTCTGCAGTATCCAGGTGTGTGGATTTCAAGTCCTGTTCTGCAGATTCCACATGTA